CAGAAGTCGGCGATCATCGAAGCTCCAGGTTCGGGGATAAAGCACAGGGCGCGCCTCAAAATAATAATGCGGCCAGCTCCTCGGGGGCATTTGTGCGGATGAAGGAGCACGTATTCTGTTGAAGAGACTCACGTGAGATATCCAATCGGGGGTCACGCACAGTGCGCCAAGAGTGAAGTTCGCGCATATGGGATATGACAGAGTCTCGATGCCGTCCGAGGAGCCAACGTAAGAGAATATGTTCTAAATCGCCCCGCGCAGCCTCGAGCTCAGCCAGCGCCTGGGGGAAAACAGGGGAACGGAACATATATCTAATACAAGCCGCCTTCGCCACTGCTTGGATGTCCGTGGACTCAATCAACACCCAGCTAAATCTCATGACAGTTAGCGGCGAGGTTGTAGGATGTGGCATTCCTCGGGCCAGCAGTGAGGAGCATTGCCCCTTCTTTAAGTAGCTTGGTGATGGACTTGCGCGGGGGTGCATCTGACAGCGGAACGGCAGGGGCGAGACGCACGTGACTCCGAATGAGACGGCGGATAGGGCAAGCCCCAAGCCAAGGCCGCGAGCATGACGGATGCGAGGATGAAACCGAGGGGCGGCGTCGTCCCATACGTTTTTGCGGGCATCAGGACCAATCGGAATCCCAAGGTAAAGGGCCCATAAGCAAACCAGGAGGCCCTGAAACGGTGAGCCGAAATCTCCGAGGGAAACCATCAGAAGGTCACGACGCATTTCACTACATATAATAAGCTGGCAATTCTTAAAGTGCAGGCGCAGGCTGGCGATCTTCGCCACCGACATCAACGCACAGAAGACAGGTCCTAAACCACGAAGTGCATGAACAAGGCCAAAGAGAAAATCACCGGCATAGGCGAGCTCGATGCCGATATGGACAGAGCAACGGTGGCGAATCCAACGAAGTACGTGGCCGACAGCAAGAACCAACATGTACATCGAGGCAGGGCAGCCTTGTTTAACCCCAGGGCGAATGCCAATCCCCCCCAAAAAAAAAACACGACCAAACACGGCAACTTGGGCAACGTTATTCCCGCGCGCCAATTCAAAGAACCGAACGGCGCGGGCAGGGGCGCGCGTACTTCGAAGAATGCGAAATAGCCAGGCAATAGCAAGAGAAGGAAACGCCGCGGAGAAGTCGGTGAGGAGAAGGGAAGAGCACTTGTCGCCACGCATGTGGTGGGTGATGCCCCGCGCTTCAGCGCGCGTCTCATTGGCAAGCATGCCCCGACCACGAACGCAAGCCTGCTCGCTGCCGGTAAGAGTGGAAGAATGCTCGACCAGATAGTGAAAGCGTTGGTCAGCAGCTTATGGTCCGTGCTACTCATACTGAGAGGCCTAGTGGCAGATGGATGGCGAACAAGCTGGGGACAGCCAGGTGCATGGTGAGGGTCCGAGCCTTTCGGGGGAACGACCAGGAGGCTCCTATTCATGTCGTCAGGGGGCGCGCGCGCACGGCCATCGAAGAGCAGCCTATAAACAGTGCAAAGGATTATAAAAGCATGATCGTTGTTTCCACACCGCGCGCGGAACCCCATCGGGCCCAGGCACGCTATGATGACGTTCCAGAATAAGCTCATACCAGGTACTATATGGGAGTATCCACGCTTGGTCAAGGGGGCCCGAGAGGACCTGGATGAACGGGTTGATCTCTTCCCAGGGGGAGGGGTCCACAGAGGGAGCCTTGAACGCGTCGCGCCAATTAGTGCGAAGGGCAGCAGCAGAGGCCTCAGAAGACGGCAGAGGGGGCCCATCATCGTCGCACACAGGTGCGAAGATGGTGCGCTTACAGAACTTACTCCATAGTTCTTTGCGACGTTGGTTCCGAGCAAAAAGGTCGCGCTTACGGTCACGGTCCAGCTCTGATTTGTGTATTTCAACCTCTTCATCATTGCATACTTAATTGTACAGAGCTCGAACGTGTTGGGGCAGACCGTCAAAATGAACACATTCAGTTAGCTCGTCATGAAGTGTTGGGCACGAAGCCGCGGGTAGCAGTCAACAGCTCGGCGGAGACGCTGCGCGTGGCCGAGGCGATGCGCGCGGTGGGCTGCGAGCGACCAATGATGCTTGTGTTGGCGAGATACCGCTTGGCGATTTCCTAGTGCACCGCGCGCTGCAGAGGCGGCCTCGAGGACATGATCCTTGGCCCGTTGAAGCTTGCTGAGGGCTTCCCAAGCCGTTGGAGTGTCACTCAGTAAGAGTGAAATCGGGTGAGGGCGCGATCCAAGGCGAGATGGCGGGGCGCCCGTCCGGGGGAGAGAAAAGCTCCGGGGAGGCCCTCGCGGGAATGCGATCACTCGCCAGGAAAGCTTTGAAGGGGGGCGAGGGCCCCAGCGCGAGCCGACGCACCGCGGAAAAAGGGCTAGGGGGAGGGGGGCGCGCAGACGGCCGACCCTAGAGGTGATGTGGGCCGCTTTGCCCGTCTGACCCCGTCGAGTGTCCTGGCCCTGGTGAAGCCCCGCGCGGTGGGGGAAGAGCTTGTGGGATAGTCTAGCGCGGGGCGAGTCGCCAGGAGACCAGCCGCTCCCATCACCTCTACAACGGCCCTCCTCTTCCAGAACAAAGTTAAAGCCGCCCGTCGCAATGCAGCGGGCAGGACAATTGCTGCCGCCGTGCATATGCGAGTTAAAATCAGACTGCAGTGAGCGAAGAACACCAGTGAATAATGATATTTTGTCACATGTATTGGGCACATGAATCTTATACATCACCAGTCTCCCATTGGGGCCCAGTGGCGTACTCTTGAGGACCCTACCAGTGATGAGCGCACGGCGATGTATCTCATGGAATTGGGGGGCGAGGGATTAGGGGGTACCTGCCATGGCCCCGCCCTCGCGGTTGGAGCCCTCGAAGAGAGAGAAGCCGAACCTGCGCGCGCGGAGCTCGCGCTCCAATTCAATGATGTCACCGATATGACCGCGCGTCTCTTGCGCAGTAACTGCATCGTACCTCTTGCGCAACGGAATATATGTTTACATATTTCTCAGGGGCGCGAAAGCTTTGTGAGCGGGCCGAGCCCATGAGCGCCTCGCAGTTCCACGTGGAGCGAGAGAGAGAGAGAGAGAGAGAGCGAGAGAACGAGAGAGAGAGAGAGAGAAATAAAGATATATATATATATATATATATATATAGAGAGAGAGAGAGAGAGAGAGAGAGAGAAGAGAGAAGAGAGAGAGAGAGAGAGAGTCGGGGACGGCATGAAAAGCAAACATACGTTCTCACATTTTTCGCGTGTGTGTGGGTGTGCGGGGCGGGGGGCGGGGTGGTGTGTGTGTGTGCGTGTGTGTGTGTATGTGCGTGTGTGTGTGTGTGTGTGTGTGTGTGGGGGGGGGGGGGGAGGGATGGGGAAGGGGGGCTGCCTGAACAAGAGTCGGCATGTTCCATCGCCGAAAGGGGCGGCGCAGCAGGACAAGCGCGGCCTGCTCGAGGGCCGCTGCGCGCTGAGCGGTGCCAAAGTCTAAAAGAGTGTCGCGGGCGATTTCCGTCTCGATACCACCGCTTTCACTGGCAGAGATGCTGACAGCTCGCACTGGATCATGCGGTCCACGAAGGATGTAAACACAACCTCCGAGCCCAAAGCTCCCGACCTCATGCCCGCGGTTCCGCATTAGGTCGGCGAGGTGGCGGCGCGCGCGGCCGAGCGAAACAAAAAAGCTGGCGCCCCTGGAAATCCAAGTCGCGGCGGGGTCTCAACGTGAGCTGCGACAAGGAGCGCAGCGGGTCGGCAACATTCCACAAGCCGTTGGCGCGGGTGCAATTGGCGAGGAACGACGAAGCTTCCAGCGCGGCCTCGAAGTGGAAGCGTGATCTTCTTGTTCATGTCGAAGGCGCGGACGATGGACTTGGCAGCTTGCTCTGCGGGGGCGAAGGCGGACAGGCAGGCGCTTCCGATGGAGCGCAGGTCGTTCGCAAGCATACGCCGTGGGAAGCCGGGGAGGACGAGCTGGCACGTCTGGTCCTGGGCGTTCTGGATGCTCATCCGCGGCTCGGGGGGGAGAGCACCTCTTGGCGAAGCAGGCGGTGTCGGAGTCGAAAGACTAGCAGCAATGTGTTGTTCAGCGGTCTTATGGCGATCGAGGAGCTCGCTGAGGGCACTCTCAATCGTGGCAACCTTGGTCTGGAGGGCAGGGGCAGCCGCATCCATATGGGCGTCGCCACCTGCAGCCTCCCTCGTGCCCATCCTGTAGGCCAGCGCGTTCAGGGAGGCAATGACCGATCATTGGAGTTCCTGGTGGCGGGAATGGCACTCGCGGCTGATGATCGTCATCTGGTCTGCGAGCGCGGAGCACCTGTCAATAGATGCCTCGCACGCCTCTTTGATGGTGCCCATGTCAGTGGACTGACCGATTGGAGACCAGCTGGGAGAGGGATTACATGTTGTAGATGAGGGAGTCCATCTTCGCGTCGTTGAGGCTACTTCCATTCGTGGAGTTCGACGAGCCGCCCGAACGGCTGCGGCTGAGCTGGCGCTGCTTGCTGGCGATGTGACGAGGGGAACTTTGCGAGGAGGAACAGACATCACGTTCATGATCGGCTCGACGTTCAGCACGAGATCGGCGTTCATCTCTCTCCAAGGACTTGTCGAAAAGGCTTGCGCACTTGGGAATTGCGGCCCATGATGCTGAGAAGGAACTGATGAGCTGCAGAGAAAGTGAACGAAATACTGATCGCCGCGTGCTTTGGCGCACGACTGGAGAAGAATGTGAGGTCTAACTTCGGGACGCTCGGGCCAACCCCGTGGCAGCGTCCAAACTTGAAGCACCAAGGCAGCGTTTCGAACTTGAGCCAAACAGGCTACGGAAGGTGAGTGGTAGGATGATGAGAAGACATGGAGAGACGGAGAGCAACAGGTGGGGACCGAACGGGCTGTTCTGCAGAGCAGTCACAAAGAAGGAGGAGGAGGAGGAGGAGGAGGAGGAGGAGGAGGAGGAGAGAGAGGAAGAAAGGTGAGGAGAAAACACGGGTACGCCCCCTGGACAGCCTTCTCGGACTTCCCAGTCTTGCTGGCCTCGCGCTGCTTGGAATAGGCGCTGGAGGACAGCAAGGAACCGACGAGCCCGCTGAACACCGACACGAACTGCGTGACGGAGAACTCCTCCTGCGGCCTGTCACTGGTGCCTGCCGCTCGGGCCGGGGGCCGCGGACGAGGCGGGAGGCCGCGGCTGCCGGGAGGGTAAAATGTTTTGAGAAGGATGCGCGGGCGGAGCAGGGGAATGCAGGAGGAGGAGGAGGAGGAGGAGGAGGAGGAGGAGGAGGAGGAGGAGGAGGAGGGGGAGGAGGGGGGAGGAGGAGGAGGAGGAGGAGGAGGAGGAGGAGGAGGAGGAGGAGGAGCAGGAGGAGGAGGAGGAAGGGGGAGGAGGGGGAGGGGGAGGACGGGAAGGGGAAGGGAGAGGGGGGAATGAGCAGGAGGGAAAGATGTGGATTAATATGGCAAATGCATGGACGACGAGGAAGTGGAGAACGAGGACGAGGATAAAACGGAAGGCGAGGACGAGGAGGATGGGCAGTGGGCCAACGGCGGGGAGAAGACGAGTAGAGAGAGATGAGGACGAGGACGGGGCGGTGAAGGAGCAAGATGACGGTGAGCAGCGCGCGGGATCGACGCGCACTGCGCATGAGCATGGCCGTGGGGCCATCTCCAGCAGGGCGCGAGCAAAGCGTCGTTTTTGTTTTCAGCACCGCGTGCGTCTTAAACGATGCTACAATGAAAACGACGCCATCCGCCGAACAACCAATGTCGTTCCAAACCGTCGCCTGCGAAAACGCCGACGAAGCGGCATCGGGCTGGCGCCTGAAAGCAACAAAGGGAAACGAGAGCGGCATACACAAACCGCCGAGCAGCGCGTTGCTCGCACCCTGATCTCCACTGCTGCGACGCCACTGCACGGGGATCACGGGGTCAGACACAACCGTGATAACATCGGGCGTGAGTGAATAAAAAATCTCTCAGATCCGGTGGCCCTGGAGGCATTGTCGGGCACCGCGGCCATCTCAGAGCTGTCCGGAACGCTCTGAGAGCGCCCCTGAACGCTCTGGGACGGATTGATCCTCGCCCTGGCCCCGTCCGACGAGGGCGAGGGGGAGCGAGCCGCGGGAACCCCCGTAACTGAAGGGGCCCTGGGACACACAAATAAATACACACAAATAAAAACAAATCCTCATATTTTCTGGGTTTCTGTCTTCCCCCACTTCCCATGTTTTCCTATATTTTCGGGGGAATCGACGATGAATTGTGTCTGTGTGTTTTTTCCCCTCCTGAGTAGCGCGCGCCTGCAGGCCTGTCGGCCGCGCCGTCCGTGCGCGCAGTGCGCGAGGGCCGGGCGGGCGCCAGAGCGGCGGCCCGTAGCACCCCTCGCGCCGCCGGCAGGCCTCCCCCCGCTGGGGCAGGGACCGGCCGCGCAGCTCGGGAGGGAAGCTGCCCTCCCCCTCCCCCCCCCCCCCTCCCCCTGCCCTTCCCCTCCCCCCCCCCCCCCCCTTCCTCCTCTCCTCCTCCTCCCTCCTCCTCCTCCTCCTCCTCCTCCTCCTCCTCCTCCTCCATGTTGTTTTGGCTATTAAAAAATCTCTTCCCTGTCGCACCCTGAGGCCAGTCGAAAGGGCGGGCCGGGCGATTCGCCTGATACTGCCTCGCGCTTGTTCATCCTGAACTTGAATTCTGCAGCAATTTCACGGAAGGAGGGCGGCCCGCTTTCAACACGTGGCTCTCGCCCTAGCGCCGCGCACATTTGCTTAAACACTTGAAAATAGTTTCGCGGATGGAGGGCGACTCCTTTTCAACATGTGGGTTTTGCCCCTTCCGATCCGCCCCGAAACCACAGCGGATCGCAGCGCGAGGCCAAGCTCGGGCCATGCTGCTCAGGCCGCCCCCCTCCTCCTCCTCCTCCTCCTCCTCCTCCTCTTCCTCCTCCTCCTCCTCCTCCTCCTCCTCCTCCTGCTCCTGCTCCTGCTCCTGCTCCTCTTCCTCCTCCTCCTCAGATGATATGGGGAGGCGCACCGTTTTTTTTTTTTTTTTTTTTTTTTTTTTTTTTTTTTTTTTTCTTTTTTTCGCGTGGCCGAGGTCACTCGGTCTCCGAGGCGCGAGCTCGCGGCGCAGCAGCCCGTCTGCCCGGGCCGCCTGCCCCCCGCGGCGCGGCAGCCTGTCTGCCAGGGCCGACGCGCGCCGACCAGCAAGCTGGCAAGCGCGCCGCGGCCTCCCGTGCCCGCTGTGGGGCCGAGAGAAACGCCCCGCCGCAACAGGCGCGGGCGGGCGGGGCCCCGAAAAAGCTGGCCCCGCATGGGGCTTTGAGCCCGAAGGGCCACAAAGGGGGCGGCTACGCGCACGAGCGAAAGACTCCGTTACATCTAACGTCCAAGTTTTGCTGCTTTCGTTCCGCCTCGAAACCGCGGCGGATCGCAGCACGATGCCCAGCTCGGGCCATGCTGCTCAGGCCGCCCCCCTCCTCCTCTTCCTCAGATTATGATGAGGAGGCGCATCCTTTTTTCACTTCGCGTGGCCGAGGCCACTCGGTCTCCGAGACGCGAGCTCGCGGCCCGGTAGCCTGTCTGCCCGGGCCGCCTGCCCCCCGCGTGCTCTGGCACTCGCTGCCGCCTCGCCCGCGCTGCGAGCCGCGGGCCCGCCTCGAAGGCCCTGTCCGCGCTGGGTGTGGGGGGGGGGGGGGCCTAGCCTAGCCACTCTACCTGGCGCTCGTGCCCCAGCGGCGCCGCGCCTCCGCCTCGACAGGCGGCCGCTCCCCAGCCTCGCGCGGCCCGCCCCCGCCCCCCCCAGGCGCGCAAGCCGTCGGCCGGCGCGCCTCGAGCCTCAGAGACCCGTCGCGGCTGCCGCGCCCTTCCTCCTCAAACCATGGCCAGGTCCGCGTCTGCCACGCTGCTGGCCGCGCCGTGCGCCATGTCCCTCGCCTCCCACAAGTAGCCCTGGAACGCGTCGCTGTTCCAGCGCCACCGACGCCGCGCCAGCGCCGTGTCCGTGAACGCCGCGCACAGCGCGGGCGCCCCGCCGATCCGCCGGCCGTGGGGGCCGAGGTCGTTCAGGCCCACCACATCTGCCACGGCCGACTGCGTCGCCGCGCGCTGGACATCTGCTCGCGTCGCGAACTTGGCGCCATCATAGGCGAAGAGCGGGTGGTGCATTTTCGCCCCTGGGAACCTCTCGCGCGCCCAGCCCTCGTGGATCGTTAGCGCTTCCACGACGCATATGCGCCCCTTCACTGAAACCGCCGCCACCTCCAACCTGATGCGGTTGCTCACCGCGGTTGCACTGATCAGTCTTGCTGGCCCTGATCTTGATGACGACCTCGTTCGTCTCGGGCCAGCTCCTGCGCGGCTCGCCTGCTGCCTTCGTTGCGACGTCAACCACCTGCAAGCCCCTGCCGCTCGCGTAGCCGTTCTGGCACCCGGGCGCGTGCTCGCTGGCCCTCAGCAGGAAGAAGTAGCCCGTTGCTACCGCCGCCCAAAGAGCCGCTCCCTCGCGAAACCTCTCCAGCTGCAGCGTCTTCCGGATCCGCCGCGTCATCCTGGGGGTGACCGGCCTCTTCGAGTTGGCGCCCCCATCTCGCCGACGGATGCGATCGATCGCCGCCCGGGGCCTTCCTGCCCCGGCCGTCGGGCCGCCCATGCCGCGGGCCAGGTGCCGGGTGCGGACCGCGCTCAGGCACTGCTCAATGGCGCCCGCCATCTTGCGCGCACCTGGACAAGCGAGCGACAAACTCCAGCAGCAGCTCCTCCTCCTCCCCCCTCCGGTTCGCGAGCGCGACCTCCCGTCGCGGGCTGGCGCCGCGCGCGCGGCAGAAGAGAGACCACCACCTCCAGCCCAGGCTGTGCGACCTGATGGTGGAGCTCCCCAGCGTGTCCAGAATGAGATCCAGCTTGGCCTTCTCCCAATCCACGCGCGTCTTGAAATCTGTGAGGGTCAGGTCGCGGGGCGTGGCCTTGTCCTGCGCAGCTTTTGGCCCGAGCAGGTTCGGCGGCTGGTCCTGCGCCGAGCCCGCGCTCTTGCCCCTGCGCGTCTTCCTCTGGGCGATAACTCCTGCCTTGCGCCCTTCCGCCTCGCGCGGCACCTGGGCCGCCGGGGCCCAGTCGAGCCGCCCTCCGGGCAAGCCTGCCCAGCTGCTCTCGCGCCTCCTCCTGCTCCAAGCGCCCGCCCCTCCGGCTTCCAGCTGCCCCGCGGCCGCCGCCTCTCGGTCGACCCCCTGGGCGAATAGCCTCAGGCGCGCGCGGATGCGCCATGCCCCTGCCTCAGCGCCGCCTGGGCCCCTGGCGTCGCCGAGGTAGCGCGCCGCCCCGGGTCGAAGCGGCCACCGCCCTCTGGGCACTGGCCGCTCCGGACCTCGCCTCCTCCCGGGGCCACCTTCGGGCTGCGAGGCCCTCCTCTGGCCTCCCGCCTCCTGGGCTCCCCGGCCGCTTGCGCCCCTCTCTCGATCCTGGTGACCCTGGCGCGCGGGGCCGCCATTCTCGCTGCCTACTCCGCAGGGATGCGCACCGCCCGCGCGTCCTCCAGCGGCTGTCCATGCCCCCCATGGGCAATTGTCATCGCTCCCCATGGCCCCCGCGCGCCGCCACCCGCCGCCAACATCGCCTCCTCCAGCTGGCGCGGGGGGGGCCATCGCTCCGTGGGCGCCTGTCGTCGGCACCTGGAATCCCCGGCGCGGGGTTGCCGCCGCCTCCTGCCGCCTCTCCGCCTCTCCGGCTGGCGGTAGGGGGCCTTCGCTCCGCGTGAGTCCGTCGTCGGCTCCTGGATGCATCGGCATTGGGTTGCCCCGCGCCACCTCCTGCTGCCTCTCCTCGGACCTCGCGCGCGACGGCTGAGCTGGAGGCCTCTGGCCGAGTGCAGCGAACCCCAGGCCCGGAATGGCTCCAGGCCGCGGCCCCGGGGGGGGCGGGCCCGCGCGTCCGCCCCAGGGCGCGCGCGCCCCGGGCAGCTGGTCCAACGGTGTCTGGCGAGGTGTCCTGGGCCGGGTGACGCGGCGCTGGGGGGGGTCTGCCACCGCCGTCGGCGGGCGCGGTGGCCCCCCCGCATCGGCGGGCCGCTCTGCAGCCCCCTGTCCGCGCCCGCCCCCCCCCCCTCGAACTCCCTGCCCCGGGCGGCCCGGCGCCCGCGTAGTCGGCTGAGTCCGACCTCGCCGACCGCGCTCTCGCGCGTCGCGTCGGCGGCCTCGATGGGCTCGGCAACGAGCTCGCGCATTCCAACTTCTCGCTCAATAGACAAGGCCCACTGCGCCGAGGCGTCCGTCTGGCCGTCCGCCCTGCGGTCCAGGTAGTCGGAGATGAAGGCCGCGCGAGGGTCTCGTCTCCTCTGCTCCTCGTCCTGAGCCTGCGCGCTCCGGAGCTTCTCGTCGAAATTACTGCGCGCCTCGTTTCTCGTCTGCGCGCGCTCCTGGGCCTCGCCCGGCGGGCCGAGTGGCGGCGGCTCCGCCCATTGCTCTGGGCGACCGCGGACAGCGGGCTCAAACCGCCCCACCGAGTCGGCGCCGCCCCCATAGTCTGAGAGCCCGAGGGCCACGCCTGACTTCCAGAAGACAGCTGGAGGCTGGGCGCCGATGCGCTCGCGGAGCAGCTCCGGGCGCGGGGCGCCATCGGGTCGCCCTCGGTGGTGCCCCTAGCTAGGCCGACGAAGTTGGCGGGGAAGCTGCAGCGCGCGCCCCAGCTCGCGGTCGCGCCGGCTAGGGGCCTCTCACGTGGACCAGCCATGCCGCCACCGCTGCCGCCTTTGCGGGGCTGCCCATCCTGGCTCCTGCGCTCGCCGGAGGGCCCAGGCGGACCTCCTGCCTCCCGCCATTTGGCCTGGCGCGAGCCCGGCCCCTTCTCCTCCTCAGCCTCGGGGCGGTGGAATGGCCGCGCCGGGCCGCGGCGCGATCGGCCGCGCGCGTCGCGCGGGGGGGGGGGCCGTCCTTCTCCGCGGCTCCCCTCTTTGAAGCACTGGGCACGAGCGCGCTCTCTGCGCCGCCCGCGCCTCGTAGGTCTTCCCGTGGAAGGGGCGCGCTCGGAAGTTGCGAGCTCCGCCCGCCTCCGGGGCGTCGCGCGCGCCCGAGATCGCCGCGTCCTCCGTCAGCAGGTAGACGGGCCCCTGGCGGGCTGAGTCTTTGCAACCCTGAGGGCGCAGGACCTGCGTGCACCCCTGCCCGGGGAAGGCGATCCCGTCCGCCTCGGAAATGACGACGCTGAGCTCCGACTCGGTCTCCGAATATTCGAGGCCCATCTCCTCGGCCTTCCCGCGCCCCGTGCCGGGCCTTGGGCGCCTCCAGCGCCGGGCGCAGCGCCTGGGCAGGCGACCGCAGAGCTGTTCAACGCACCTCTGCGCGCCCAGGCGCAGCAGGCCCGCCGAGCGCGGGCGATGATAAAGCCTACCCCCCCCCACCCCATTTCCCCCCGTTCAACTTGATTTAATTGTGGAGAAGGGCGCGGAGGCCGAACTTGATAATCCACGGGGGAAGTTGCGAATCGAAGTTGCAATCATCTCACGTTGGCTAGCGACAGCACCAAGCGCCCCCCCTGCACCAAGCGCCCCCCCTACAAGGGCGGCCCCAAAGGGTGCCGCGCCTGCGTGGGGGAGCGGTTCGAAGTCCAGCGCAAGAGAGGCTCGTTGGCCAGAAGGACCACCGGCCTCTCTTGCGCTTGTAAATTGTAGGTACGAGCCTCGAGATCTCTCGAGTCAGTCTTGTGCTGAGCGCCTGCTGGCTTGTTGCGGCCGCGAGCGTCGAAATCTCTCGAGTCGGCCCTGTGCCGAGCGCCCAGGAGTACCATCATCATAATCATCGTCATCATCATCATAACTTCACCTTCCCAAAATAATCGCTGATCACCCCCGCGGACCCCCGAACTTTATCATCTCCCGGGTATTATTATCGCTCGCGGTCGGTTCGGCGCGGCCCGCAGGCGCGAGCATGACCGGGGCCGCCGCGTTGACCCGGTTGCTGGAGTTGGCCGCGCGCGACAAGCAGACGCGGCCAAGGTTTCTCTTGCCCTCTGGCAGGGCGCGCGGAGTAGCCGCGCAGAAGTGCGCCATCCCGACGCCGCCCTCGCCCCTTGTCGCCTCGAGGTCGCCCGTGAGGTCGCGATGGGAGCTGCCCTTCGCCTCTGTCCTTCGCCTCCTTGATGCGGTGGGCGCACCCGTGCCGGGCGAGGCGGCTGCTCTTCTGGTCCAGGCGCGCCGCGGGTCCGCCAATTCGGAGATGAGGTCGTTGGGCATTATCATCTCAGCGATGCCTCCTCTCGCTCGAACCTCATGCTTCACGTTGGCTTCATCCGCTGCTTCGACGTCGCCTTCCAGGGCCGCCTCGACGTCGTGCCCCGCCTTGCTGCCGCCAGCGCAACCCCTCAACGTCTACGCGATGAACGAAATACATAACCTGCAGGCCCTTCGAAGGAACCGTGCCACGAAGCCGACGACGGAGCCCAAAATGGTGGCCATCCCGAGCCCCGCGGACGCCACGTCTGTCCACTGCAGCTTCGCCCAGTACTTGCCGAACAAGTAGCGACCCATGGCATCGACCGCCCCTATCAGGAAGGAGAGGGCTGACGCAGCACAGCGCCCGCCGCGCGCCCACCCTTTTTCGCCGAGCCACTTCGAGGCTGCTTCGACCCAGGCGTGGACCCGCGACATGCTGAGCTGCGCTCCTACGTTGGCTTTGGGCGCCGACGCGCTTGGCCCCTCGGCTCGCTTTCGCCCCGCTGCCGACGCGTTGGGCGCGCCCGTCGGCCCGCCCGGAGGTGGCGGGGGCGGGCTGGATCCCTGCGTCTCCTCTCCTCTGGCTGCGCGGGCGCCGCAGCTGGGCTGGCGTCCGCGTAGTTGTAGCCCTGGTAGTAGTGCTCGTGCTCGCCAGTTGGCTGGCTGGGGGCGCCCGCCTGGGTCGGCCCTGGCTGCTGGCGGATCCGTGGCCTGGGGCCCCAGGAGGGCGAAAGTCAGTCGCTGCCGCCGAGAGTGGCCCGGGCCCTGCCGCAGACTCCTCGATGGCCAGCGGCGCTGCGCCGCTCTCGCTTGAGCAGCTGGGCTGGCCGCCCTGATTGGGCTGCCCCTCGCGCTCCTTTTCCTCGCCCAAGTCGCCCTCGCCCGGGCCCGTCTGAGCATGGCCGTCCTCGGGCCCAAGGACTGCGGCTGTCGCAGAGAAACTGACGCACAAGCCCACGCCCAGAGACGCGCCCAGCCATGTCAGCATCGCGAAAATTGCCGTCGCTACGCTGCATTCGAGCGCGTGGACGGGCCGCGTCTAGCGGCCGCCGCGGACCGCGCGACCCCTCCGGTCGCCGCCCGCACTGGAGGGGGGTCCTGGCCCTGCCGCTACCCAGCGCTCCTCGGAATGCCTGGCCCGAACCGCAGGCCGGGCAGGCGAGCTACGGCTCCGCCCGCTCTCCCCAACAAAAGCTGGCCCCGCATGGGGCCTTAAGCCCAAAAAGGGCCGCAGAGGAGGCGGCTACGCGCACGCGCGAAGCCCTCTGCTATATCTAGCGCCCAACTCTCGCCTTAGCGCCGCGCGCACTCGTCTCAAAATGTTGCAGGCGCTTCACGGATGGACAGCGGTTCCGCTCCAAACTGCGGCTCCCGACGTAGCGCCGCGCGCGTGACTGAGACGAGAACTGGAAGGGCTTCGCGGGCGGAGGCCCGTTCCTCTTCAAAACGTGGCCCTCGCCTGGGCGTCGCGCACACTCGTGTTAAGAGTGTGCAACAGCTTCACGGATGGTCTTGGCTGACGTCCGAGAAACGGTGTTTCGGCATGATGTGAGAGTATCGGGGCGGAACAGTCCAATGTATTCGCGGTGTTGAAGTCCCAGGAAATGGTGTTCTGACACGGTTCTGGATCGTCAAGGCGAACGATTCCTGGCGATGACGTCCCAGGAATGACAGAAACGGTTGTCGTTCAACGGGGCATTTCCTTCAGTGAAAATAAATCCTTGTAGGGCCCTATGAAGAGGGAGCTTGGAGGGAGGGTTTCGTGCAACAGCGTTGATTGGTTTTGGGTTTGCACTGGTCCTTCTCTTCCTCCTCCTCCTCCCTCTCCCTCCTCCTCCTCCTCCTCGTCCTCCTTCTCCTCCTCCTCCTCCTCCTCCTCCTCCTGCTCCTCCCTCTCCCTCCTCTCCCCTCCTCTTGCCCTGTCATCGTTGCTGAGCCCCGCCGCTGCCTGTTCAGGCCGGCAGGGGGCCGGGGGACGTCCCCTAAATGGTCCAGGGACAAGTGAATAAACACAAACCCAAGGATTTCCAATAGTTTCTGATATTTTCCCATCTGTTCCTGGGGATCGACGATTAATTGTGTCTGTGTTTTTTCCCTCCGGATCCCCGCGAATCCTGTGGTTTCTGCGGCCTCGTTTGAGGTCCGTGAGGTTCGGCGGCCTGCTGCCGCCGCGGCTTGGCGACGCCTCCTCTGCCGCGCGGTGCCGCACCCCGCGACGCCGCTGCCCTGCCTCGAAGCCGAGTCTTCCTCCTCCCTCCCTCCCTCCTCGTCGGAGGTCTGGGCCTTCCCTCCTCCTCCTCCTCCCTCCCTCCTCCCTCCCCCTCCCTCCCCCTCCTCGAAGCCGAGTCTTCCTCCTCCTCCTCCCTCCCTACTCCTCGTCGGAGCTCTGGGTGGGCGGCCGCCCGCCCAAACCTCCGACGCCGTGACCTGTTCCACCAGCGGGCGTTCCTCGACGTCGGCCCCCACGGCCTCAGGACCACTCGCCGGCAGCATCCGAAGACCTCTTCGGGGCCCGATCCGACGTCGCCTAAAACACACGACTGCGGAAATGTTGCGCCCCGCTCCCTGCGCCTCGTCCTTCTGCGGCACTCCTCGAGCCGGATGGATCCGCGAGGGCCTCACGGCCCGAATCTGGGCGAAAGCGCCCGCTGTGAAAAATGCGACGCCCAGTCCCTCATTCCCCGCTGCGTGCAAGCACGGGATCCTTCTCGATCCAATCAATCGGATCGACTCGATCCCGTTTGACAGCGATTCCGCTATGAAATCTGGGAGACAGCATGGCCCCCGCCTTATATCACCCCTTAGTCCTCACCCCCCTCCTGGACTGGACGGGCCCGCCAGGATGACCGCGTCTTCTTCGCCCCGATTTGGGAGGCCTTGATTCGGGGAGACCCAGAGGTGGGGGCTAAAGAAAAACCACTCCAAACGGTTCCTGGAAGAAGGAAATGTGAGCATCCAGCTGGGTTCGTTCCCTGAACCTACTTGGGGATACCCCCCCTCCACTTTCGGCGACTCCGAAAGGTGTGATTTGTAAAGAGTGTGGTTTGCAACCGGCACCCTGGGGGCTCACTGGGGGGCTGGCGAGGACCTCGACAGAGCCCTTCGCGGAGCCCCGAGGACGAGGACCGTGTCGTGCCCCCCCGGCCCCAACGGCGCCGATCGCAAACCGCACCCCGGCGTAACCATACCCTGCGCTGCCGCCGACCCATGCGAGCCGTCCCGCCGCCGCCTCCCCGGTCGAGCGCCGCCGCAGAGGCATTGGGCATCTTGAGGAGAGGCTCCGCCTGCCTGCCGAGCCCCGCCTGCCTGCCCCCTCAACCCGCTCCGACCAGCCAGCAGCTGGAGGAGCTGCGCCCTCCCCTCTCCTTGCGTCGGGCCCCTCCTCCTCCTCCTCCTCCTCCTCCTCCTCCTCCTCCTCCTCCTCCTCCTCCTCCTCCTCCCTCGTCCTCCCTCCTCCCTTGCCGCCGACACTCCCCCTCCTCCTCCTCCTCCTCCTCCTCCTGCTCCTCCTCCTCCTGCTCCTCCTCCTCCTCCTCCTCCTCCTCCTCCTCCTCCCTCGTCCTCCCTCCTCCCTTGCCGCCGACACTCCCCCTCCTCCTCCTCCTCCTCCTCCTCCTGCTCCTCCTCCTCCTGCTCCTCCTCCTCCTCTCCTCCTCCTCCCCTCCTCGTCCTCCCTCCTCCCTTGCCGCCGACACTCCGCCTCCTCCTCTCCTCCTCCTCCTCCTCCTGCTCCTCCTCCTCCTCTCCTCCTCCTCCTCCTCCTCCTCCTCCTCCTCCCTTGCCGCCGACACTCCCCCCTGATAGCCGACCGCCGCCGCCCCCCTCCTGAGGCCGCGTGCAGCGCCCGCGGGCCGCCGCGCGGCGCCGGCGGGCGCGCGGCCGCGGCGAGCGCGGCCGCTGGCCGCGCGTGGCGCGGCGGGCCCGCCCCGGAGGCCATGGCGGCCCCTCCCGCGGCAGGACCGCGCCTCGGCTTAGGTCGGGCCTGTCCCCGTACAGGGGGACCTTGGGCGAAACACTCAACATACCAACAAAAAAAAATACGGCCCACATGCTCAACAGAAAAATAGCCAAACAGTCGCCCCCACCAAGGCATTGCAGAATGCCCAACCCACTGGTAAGTGCCTCATGGTACGTTGTGTTGTTGATTCGTTCCGCTTGTTGGAGTAACCCTCCGCCTCGGTTGCTTGTGCCAGATCGTGCAGTACCATTTCCCGAAATCGGTGGTATCATAATCACATCGCAGAAAAGCGGTAGAGGGACAGGCTCGACTTACGCCTCGGCGCGCAGCGCGCCGCGCGGGGGGGCGGCGCACCGCCGCGCGGCCGCGGGCCGCGCGGCGAGAGGCGCGCGCGAAAAGGGCCGCGGCAGGCCTCAAGAGCTCCTCATTACCCTCCTCATTACCCTCCTCCCTCCCTCCTCCTCCTCCTCCTCCTCCTCCTCCTCCTCCTCCTCCTCCCTTACCCTCCTCCCTCCTCCTCCTCCTCCTCCTCCTCTCGTCCTCCTCCTCCTCCTCCTCCTCCTCCTCCTCCTCCTCCTCCTCCTCCTCCCCCCCCCGCCCCCCCCCCCCCACCGGCAGGCCGCGGCAGGCTGCTCATGGGACGCAGCTGTTCATGGACGCAGGTGGCGCCCCTCTTGGAGGCGCAAGCACGGTATAGTATACCGTTACCAGGCCGGTGCGGCCAGAAGGAGCCCGCCACCGAGCGCCTTCTGTGAGGTTTCTGGGCGCGCGCGTCGCCTCCGACGCACACACAGTAGAAGTAGGTTTGGGTATACTGGGCCTCTCGGGCGCAAGGTGGTTCCGCGAGGGGCCAGGAACCCAAGAAAGCCCGAACGAGTCCCACGGGGGGGGCGAGAGGGCCCTAAGGCGACCCAGGCAGGCCTCGGGAGAGCCCTTGGAAGAACAAGGACGAGAAGTGTCACATGTGGCCGTCTCGGCGGTGCTAGAAAGTGCAATGCTGCGCTGGCACCATGGCGAGAGTTGCCGGAAGAAACTGAGTAATGGTAGCAGGCGGCAACCGACAACAACGCTTTATGCTTGGTGCACCGCGAATCGGCTCCAATCTCTCCTGGTCTTAATTGTGCATTGCAGAACCTGCACGTCTCTTGCGAGCAAGGAAGCTGCACATTCAGAAAGCTACGACACCATCACGTCTAGCTTGCCGATAGCGCTGATTTGGCCTCGCAAGCAACACGACACTATTCTGTCTCCTCCATTCGTGAGCAATTCTGTCCGTCCGATCTCCCTCCCAACATACCGAAATTCAAATTCGCAGCATTGAATGAACACAAGGGAAGACGCCCCTGCAGAGTTTCCCCTCCTCCTTCTCTTCCACCTTCTTTGGCAAATTCATCACGTCTTCAACCGCACAACCAGCCGCAAGCGAATGCGGGTTGTAGGCGCAAGGTCTCTGGGAAGTCGTCGTGAAAACAAATATTGAAAATAGGTCCCTCGCGGAAAGCCACCGGAGACCCGATCGGGTATGGCCGACAAGGAGGAAAGGGGAAGATTGTGAGGGTGAGGGGATGGAGAGAGGAAACGGAAAAAGAGCAGGAGGAGGGAGGTGCGTTCGCGCCTCATCTGACATCCTATCCCTCCCTCCGATCCATTCCCATTGCGTTAATTGTTCTCTATCCGCGGACGCGTGTCGTAGCCGACCTGAAACTCCAGTCGAAGAACCATGAACCACATCGTGTTATGCGCAATCGGACAAAGAGGAACTGCGTGCACACTAGGAGGTGGTGAGCAAGAGGATGAGCGGGAGGGAGAGGACGAGGACGAACAGCAGAAACAGGGCCTGGAGTGGAAGGAGCGGGAGGAACCGGAGGGTCAGGGGAAGGCGGAGGGAAATGAGGGGGCGACAACGATGAAGAAAGACTCGAATCCAGAAACGTGGCCCGCGCTGGGACGAGAGCGCCATTCTGAACGACGGGATCCGAAAGTAATGCCCACGATACAGCGGGAGGACTCTGTTGGCTCCGAAAACATTCGCATTGTAACACATAAGAAGAAACACCACAACTTTTTGGAGTCCTGCGTGAAAAACAGCACGCGGAGAGAGGGCCCGTTTTTTTTGGGACGGAGCCAGGGGCAAGAGGAGAGTAACATTCAATGTTCAGAGTGTTTGATCGGAGAAGCATGAACAAATGTGGAGAAAAAGGGGGGAGAGGTGGGAGAAGCAATGCGAAGGGGCGTCAGAACAGAAGGAACACCTAAGCCGGGGAGAAAAAATGGAAGTCGAGCAAAAGAAACGGAAACTGCCTCCCAATCAACGCGAAGGTGCAACGGTTCCGCTTCTGCAAGGCAGCGGCGCACAGCTCCCAAAGAGAAGGTCCATAAAGACAGGGCCCCAAGCAAGCGAAGGCAACCACGGAAAAGAAGCACGGACAAATATGAAGGATCAATACACATGGATAGGTGTGGAAGTTGGTCGCAAGAAAAACCCAAGAAAAGCAACACGTATAGCCGCGTCCTGGAGCAGCCCATCCTTATATGAGACCATGTCCCCGTGTCACGCTTTGGAATGGTGTAGCGCCAGTGTTGTCAGGTAGTGCTTTTCCTAAGTATGGTAAGCCCCCCCACCCTCCGGAAGGCCACGCCGAGTCGCGTGCACAACCACATCCTGCAATTTTCCATGTGCATCGACGTCTCCGTGGCAATCTTCAGAGCCCCCCGAGACCACCCAGAAGTACGACCGAGGCTGCCAGGATGACCCAATATTGAACAACTGGCAACCCACAAATTTCCAAGAGGACTCCCAAAATACCTGACGAGGCGCTTGAAGGGGCACGAGAAGCGCCCAAAGAGTCTCCTCCACGCGGTTCCCCAGAGGGGCTCTGAGCAAGTATTAACAACATCAGCAACCTCATGTGTGTTCAGTGTTGTCTGCCTGTTTCCTTCTTTTCTGGCTACAAGCCCAAGAATGGGTCAAAACGGCCTCAAGACCCAAAACCTGTTCCGAGATTGCCTCACACGGCCGCGTGACCATCCAAGATAGTCCAAAGACTCCCAGTGCCCCCCAACACGTCAACACACATCTGCCCAATGAGCCCTCCGAGAAACTCCTGGGAGACCCAAACAAGCCGATGTCACATGTTACGGCCCCTTGAGCCATGTGGAACATCATTCGCTACACGTCACGGCCTTGCCTCCGCTGGAGAAACGAGCTGGCGCATATCACAACACTCTGGGATCTAAAGAAGAGAGGCACCATACATTACGGCTCTCCTGGGAACCGATGAGAACAACTTATCCCGTGTCACCGGCTTCTCGAGCGTGCGGAACCGTGGTTCTTTGGTTACGGCCATCTGGATCGTAGGAGCGAGATCTGTCACACGTGAATTACGATTAAGTCGGGCGTGTCCCCCTACAGGCAAACTTTGGGCGAAAATTAAAGATACCCTACAAGATACACCAAATTTGTCAAACAATGTCTAAACAATCGTCTCCATACCATTTTTGATTATTTTGAATACCCCCTATGCTGAGGGACAGGCTCGACTCAATATTACGACCTTCGCGATGCCAGCAATGATGCTAACATGGAGTCCTGCGCTGGCGCGGTGCTGGAGCGTGCTGCAAACACCCGACGCCCGACGGCACGCCGCCTCCTTCAAGCAAGCGCTGTTCATTATCCGGAATCGCCTGCAACAGCTACGGTGTGGGCATGTTTTAACTCTTCGCAGGCGCAAGCGCCCTTGTCAAATTCAGACATGCGTGGCGCAGGCGGGACACCTAGGGGCAAGCCACTCATGGCCATGGCTCGCCGTCCTGGGGTCCACCGCCCCCGCGCCATGCCGCCGCGCGCTCGGCGCGGGTCTCGCGGCCGCGGTCCCTCGCCGCCGCCAGGGACCTAAAGCCGTGGGCCCTGGCCACGCTCGCAAGCGGCGGCAGGATCAGCGTGCCGTCGCTGCTCAGGCCCTGGCGCGTCGCGACACCCGCGCCTGGCCCAGGCCCATCGCGAGCGGGTCCGGGCACCTGGGGCCCGACAGCCACCCCGAGGGCCACACCTGGGTGAACCTCCAGGTCGGGCTCCACGGAGACGCCGAGCTTCTCCGCCCAGCGCAACCTCACGGCCGCCGAGGGCGGCGTCAGCTCGCCGATGGCCTCCTTGGTGCCAGGCTACCGCCTCTTGCCCAGGTCGTGCCGAGCTTGGGCCCGCGAGCCCGCCCTGACCCGCTGCACCGCCTCGCTGCACTTCCCGCGAAGCCCCTTCCAGGCCATCCTGGGGGCTCGGGCGTACATGTAGCACACCGCGCAGATGAAGAAGGGCTCAGCGGCCTGACTGAGCACCAGCCCCTCCATGAGCTGATGCCCGTGGACCGCCCGCGGCCCCCCGCGGCTGCTCGCAGGCGCAGGCGGCGCCGCCGCCGCCACACCCTGCGGGACCTGGATCGCCGCAGGCTGGGTCTCGGTGATCTGCGCTGCCGTCGCTCTCGCCTGCCCCCGCTCCTGCTGCAGTCTGCGAGCGACGCGACGCATGGTATCACCTGCAGACTCGCCCACTGGGGCCAGCTGGTCCGCCGGAGCGCTGGCCTGCGGGGCCGCAGCAGGCCTCTTGCGGAACGCCGCGCCTCGGCCGCCAGCTTGGCCCGAGCACGGGGAAGGAGGACCGCTGACCCTTCCTTTCGGGGCCGAAGGGGCGCAGGCGGCGCTGGGGGCCGAGCTGGATGCCGTCGCCGTCACCAGCGCCGCTGCCCCCGCAGCCGCCGCCGGCCCAACGCCGCTGCCCGCCGTGCTGGCCTCCGCCGTCCCGACCTGGATCTCACCCCGGTCGCCGAGGTCGATGTCGTCCAGCGCCTCCGTCGGCCAACACTCGCGGACACCCTGATCCGTGATGTGGTCCTCCATCTCTGCCGCGAAGCGGGCCGCCTCTCGGGCCTTCGCCAGCAGGCCCTCCAGCAACACGACGCCCTCGTCCGATGCCGCCTGCAGCGCCGCGCCCTCCTTGGCCCGCTTGTCGGCGATCATGTTGCCGTCGCGCTCGAGTACAGTGATCGCGCCCCTGTGCGCTGCCACCTGCGATGTGTGAGCAGGGATGTGCTTCGCCTCGATCCCCTCCGCCGCGTCGCGGTCCCTGCGCCCTCGGGAGGTCCCTGATGCAGTCCACCGTGCCCTTGCAGTCGCTGAGGAGAGTGAAGTGGCCTAGGATCTGCGTGAGCGCCAGGACCGCAGCGTAGTCCTCGCCCGCCCTCGCGGACTGGTTGGGCAGCAGCTCGGGCGGGACCGCTCCCTAAGCTTGGGCCCAAACCTGGCCGCCTCCTGAGATCACAATGACGGAATACAGGGTCTGGAAGCCCACGGAACTCCAATCGTGGATTGGCCATGAATATCACCACCGCCCTCATCAGATAAGGAATCCTCCAGGGTCTGAAGCCTCCAGGGCACATTCCTTAACCAGCGCCACCACTGTACCCCGTGCACCTCGCGGTCTTAAATCAAATTCATCCGACTGCACATGACCATCTGAAAGCACCTGTAACACTCGCGGGAACCACCGCCGACCTCTGGCCCGCGCGTGACGTGCCCGACCTCCGCAGACACCGCTGTGTGAACTAAGACTTGCCTGGACGACCCTGCTCGGCCTCGTGCAAACATGCGGACACCGATCGCACGGATCGATCCCCACAGATAATTGCGCACAGTGTGAGTGCGATGAACAGAATGCCCGTGTCGTCGAGAACAGGGGCACAGATTCGTGCGACGAGCGCACGAGAAAGAAACGCTGCAGCCGCGTGGATCTACGCGCGCAGCATCTGTACACGTGCATACAGAAGTCATTCGCTGACCGACGACTCTGACTGGCAACCGATCGACTCGCCCCCCACTTGAGCTCCGCGGCTGCAGCTGGGTCGAATTCCAGAAAGACACAGCTTCCCTCGGGGCCTCCGAGGTGGCTGCTCACACCTGCGACTGGTGGGCCTCGGGGCAGCACGGGGGGCAAATCCATCACTCGGCGGCGGACACAGGGGGGGAAATGAGAGGGGGCGGGCCATCGCAGGAGGCTCGGAAGGCTTCTTCCCGCCGTCTGAGAAGCTCTCTAAGTCTTCTCAGAAGCCAAAGAGGGATTCTCAGAAGGCTGGAGGGCCTCCGACAAGCCCCACCACCTCCTGAGAAGGCCTGACCTATCTCAATTCCCCTCTCGGCGCGCCACCGAATCACGCAACAAAAACGCCAACCCAACTTCACACGGAGCGCCCTCGACTGACGTGACCGCCCAACCATACGACGGCAGAACCGCCCTGTATCGGACGAAGAACAATACAATGACTCGTATCGAACCAGGACACAGAAAACAAACAACACACTCATATGTCAGCCGCTGGATGACGTTCAGGCCGGCGCGTGGGACAGCTTCAGACCTTGACTCAGGCCCCGACTCATACACGACATGAATCTTAATGCCAGCGACACCGCTTGCAACGGCAAGTATGCTCTGAACCCTTTCGCTCTACCTTCACGCTATTGTTCCGCCTGGCATAATCGGACTTCCGATCAACGCCAACACTTCGAAGCAACGTTTTCAGACACATCCGGTGTTGCCTTTCGTCTGTCGAGCGCGCGCACCGCACGACCTGTGCGTTGGCGGGTCTCTGCCTTCTCTCTCTCTCTGTGGCTCCAATCGGGGATCTTCTGACCAGGGTCAATCCAGACCCGGGTCAGTCAGGCCTTGCATGCAGTGCCCGATGGGAGCGCTGGGAGGGTGGCCAAGACCGCACCCCTAGAGGGGCCGAAACCCCGAGGGGGGCCCCGCACCAGGAGGGCCCGAAAGCCCGTGAGAGGGGGGGGGAGGCCAGGCCGACGGCCTCGCCGGCGGGCCCTTCCTGGCGGCACCCGAGTTGCCACAGCGAGGTGGGACCTGGCCGAAGGTGTTGGGCGCTCGAGGTCTCCGAGAACTGCCTGGTCCTGGGTTGACTACTCGCCATCGCTCGGACGTCCATTTCCCGTGCATTTTTCGGTTTCGTGCGTGTTCTTTTTGCTCGATGGTCCAGGATCGTCCTCACTGGTTCTCGCCGAGAAAAAATGCACACGTCCGAGCGATGCCAGGACTACCTGCCAGACCACCCCAACCTAACCCGAAGACCCGAATTTCGGATTTGGGGGAGGATGCGGGTTCCACACGTGCTTTTTCGATGTTCCCCGACGCCCCCCCCACTGGAGATGGAGAGCAGATCGGGGCCTTCGGGTTGGGTTGGGGTAATTTGGGGTGCGGTGATGGGTAGGGCCATGTTTGGGGTCCCCAAGAGCAGCACGGGAAAGACCTGAAAACGCCTGATCCGGAACCATGCTGGATAACATCTGTCTGGGGCAGAATGTGATCCGGGAGAACTCGGGCTGAGTGTCGTCACGGGGAGCTCTGGTGCGAAAGCGGGGTGCCCGAGTCAAGAGTTATCCCTGACCACCCACTGCCCTGATACGTAACTCGGGGTTCTGAAGATGGCGCCGAGGGGAGGAGGAGGAGGAGGAGGAGGAGGAGGAGGAGGAGGAGGAGGAGGAGGAGGAGGGAGCAGGAGGAGGGAGGAGGAGGAGGGAGGAGGAGGAGGAGGGCACGAAGGAAGGCTGACGTCTCTCTCTCAGAACGGCGGAGCCGAGCCGACCCCCCGACCAGGGCAGGGCAGGAGCGAGGCCGGGCCTCCAGGCAGACGGCTGCACTGCCCTCCCTGCGGGGGGCGTCGGCTGCTGTCCACCTGGGCTGCCCTTGGCCAGGCCCAGCCTGGACCCGAGGCCGTCAGACACGCCCGTCCGGCGTTGGTCGGGAAGGCGCACGCACGGAGCCTGCGCCCGTCGTCGAACGCGCCCGCCTGGCCCAGCCGAGAAGGCGCACGTGCGAACGGATCCTGCGCCCAAGACGGGCCCGGCCATGAGCGCTCTGTGCGGACACCCTGAGATCCGACGCTGCGGGGCAATTTCAACACGATCGCGGCAAACGCCCTCGGCCTGCGGCAATTTGCGAGCCAGATCGATCCGTGATGGCCCCAGAGCCCGAAAAGAAACGGAAACGCCAGGTGTGACAAAACTGCAACGCCCGGACCTCACGGCAGTTCGAGTCCCCCGACCGTCCCTGCCCACCATTCGCTCGGGGCCCCGCCTGGAGCTGCCACCTCCTGCGCCGCACCGGGGCGTCGCTGCTGGTGCTGGCAGCCCGGCCGCAGCACGTGGCGAGCGGCGCAACGTCGCGGGAGCACAGCGGACACCGTGTGCTCCTGAGAGAAAAAGGCAACAGGGACAGCTGAAGGGATACGATCGGCAACGGGCAGCTGAAGGGCACGGAGGGAAGGGCTCAGGGGGGCAACGTCGAGCTCGAGTCGGCGACACATCGCCGACAGATCGGCGATAGGCCCCCGATAGCGAAATTGCACGTTCCTGGGCGGGGTGGGCCATCGAGCCCCGATCGGCGATCAGCGGGCGATGGGGGGGTCGATGCATCCCCCCTTAAGCCTATCCCCCCTAGCGTTGCCCCTGATGGGTGAGGCCAGGCGACAGAGACAACTGGTCGGATACGATCGGCATCGGGTGCACTGCATGGCGCGAGTGGCAGAAACTCGCTGGGGCTGGGGACGTATGAGCGCGTACACATGTCGCGCGCCCGTGCTTCGCACGACTGGCGGTGCAAGACAACTTCAACATGGTACCGCGAAGCCGCGCACGCAAGATCGTCCCCGTTACAGAATCAAGTAGAGAGGGAGCCTCTGACGAACTTCGGCCGACCGACAGCAGTGTAAGGCAACACAAGGCCAACAACGAGGCGCAAGAGCCGCGTCCTGGCCAACCACTGGTCGATGCACGGCGCGTGGAATCTGTGACCGCATGGCAGTTGTCGCACATG